TCCACCCTGAATCCATTGAATTGCGCACACACTTTAATAGAGCCCCATCTTTTCTCCAGTTCCTTGTTCCATCTTTCTTAAGTTACAATAGCTGGTGACCACGAGTTCTTCCTTTGTCATATACTCACATACAAACTTGTAGCACTTCAGACTTCCAAGTGCCCATTGGCCCCAAAAGTGCACAGATCTTTACATTGACATATCCCATGGCCCAACCTAAACAATGCTCTGCCTCTGCGGAAGGAATGTCCATGGAGTCCTGCAAAACACCCTTGGCAGAGGTGGGCCCGCTACGCTTTTGGCCCAAAAAGCGTAGTGTAGCGGCATTTTTTTGTGCCCAAAATTCTGTAGTGTTAGCGCTTTTGTAGCGCATTTTTGCTACGCTACGCTGCGCTACAGCGCTTTTAGCGGTAAAAGCAGCTAAAAACTGCTAAAAAGCGCTGAAGCGCAGCGTAGTGGGCCCTTTTTTGAGGCCCACCCGCGTAGCGTTAGCGGTGTCGTGGCGGAATTCTGCTACACTACGCTTAACGCTAATGGGAATTCCGCTGCGTTATGCTACACTAACCGCTACGGTTAGTGTAGCGGCCCACCGTTGCCCTTGGTGAAGAACTTTTTCTACACTGTAAGAATCAAAAGTTGTTATGAAAACCCTTTTGCTGAATGGAGAATGGTATGTTGGAGTTGCAAGCTCTGCCCTTCTATGCTATCAGAACAAAAAGACCACTAAGCTCAGCTTAGCATTTTATATAATATGATAGAGGATAGTTTGAGATGAAGCTGTCGACTGATTCTTATAACGGTTAAAGTTGATGGTGATTGTTGTTGATGATGTTGATGTTGATGAGGTTATTGCTGGTAGAAGTGGTGATGGTAATATTGTTGAAAGTGAGGCTTGAGCACACAACATCAAGGTTAATTGTATATAAAGTTAAAAAGAGGTGATTTGAAAACCAAGGCACAGGTGCTGGGAGCACTGTGCTTCAACCAGGAATGGAACAGGGAACAGGGCACTTGGTGTGATGATGATGAGATGAAAATTTTAGAAGTATATTTCAATGAAAAATAAGGGTGGTTATATGACTGTGACTGGTAATATAATGGGTGGTAAGTGTAAAGGTGGGTTGAGACGATCTGGTCCACTGGTGGGATGATGAAAGGTACAACTGGCAGGCAGAGGCCTCCTTATATAGACAAAAGTGAGGGATTTCAGCTCCAGGGTCCATGCAGGTGAGGGAATTTAGCTGGCCTGAAAATCCAATGAGGGAATTTAGCTAGTCTAGTACATGCAGGTGAGGGAATTTGGCTGGTGAGAGCACTGCCTTGAGGGATTTTGGCTCACCTACAAGGTCCTACTACAAAGGAATGCATGTGCACTTACAAAGGAATTCAATATGAAATATGAGCTGGTAAAGGAATTCAGTATGAAACAAAGGAATTCAATATTAAATATTCATCCATTATACAAAATGAGATGTGGTCAGGTAAATAATAAAGTAAAGCTCCCGTGACAGTTTGAGAAAAGTGTAACTTCTAAACTAGTAGAGATATGGGTGTAGTTGTAGTGATTGACTAGGTGTTATTTTACCTGAGTTTGCCTTATATTTAATGTATAAAGAGATAAGAATAAATTTTTATATTTTTAGCATAGAAACACAGGAATAATTGCCACAACGCTGTGGTAACCCATACCTCTCCATATCATCTACTATTTTACTGTACATTTACTGGGAATTATTATAATATTACTGCTTATTCAGATTCTACACCCTTTTTTACCTATAGTCACTCACTCAAGCCATATCTCATTTCTTGCTGGTTCATTAGTTATTTGCATTTCTAGTTTTACAGATATTATTCTTTACATTTACTTTGCACATTAACTACATACAGCACATATTTACAGTTTACTACATACATCATAATTTTCACAAGTACTATCTTCTTACATATAATTCTTCTCATTACATCAGCCACACTCTTTCACAAGTACTTCTTTTCACATTACATACTACATATATTTTCTCAGACACACTCCTTACAATTATGCTTTCTCATATGCCTTCAGGATAACAGTAGTACACTCTTTCACAATCTTTATCTTTTGGGATTGTTTTTCTTTACTCATCCTCCTTTTTGATTGTTTGACTGACTGTAACCTGTCGCTCATGTGTGTACCTTGAAGTATATATACAGTCTTCTTATCATT